TATTTTTAAATAACAAGAGGAAATAACTTCTGTATAAGAATAATAGTTTTCAGGGGAATCATTCATAATATGAGTTGGTAAACTATTGATAACATTCGCCGGCTACAATAATTTTTGAATTTATCAGTTTTCATTTTTAGTACATATAATTTACTCATGCATTTTTCTTTTCTCTCTATAATTACAACAAACGAAAAATGGTATTTTTTGTTCTTGGTTCTTTTAAAAAAATGATTATGTATTTCATCACCAAAAACACAAATTAATACATTCTAAAAAAATATTATGGGATAACTGTTTAATTTTTTTACCTTTTCTAGTGTTTTTGAGGAATAAAAAAAACTATTAAGAATCAAGTGTTTTTCATAATTTTTTTTAATGAGTCTTATAATCATTAATTATATTTAGCATTATTTTTGAATAAATGTAAAAAAAATTTTTAATATATAAAACATTTCTTCTTCAATACAACAATTAGAAATTTTCTTATTCAATATGAGTTTTCAAAAATATAAACAAATATTTCTAATATATCAAATTATAAATTTCCTTTAACTTTGAAATTCAACCATAATAATTTCAGTCGTCGTTACAATAGAGATGATGAATTACCACGCGTGCTCGTGTCACATTTCAATTAACGAAACAGCATTAGTATTATTGGATTTAGAGTTTCTAATTTCCCCAAATGAAAAGAGTAGAAAGAATCTCAAAGAGATTAATAATGATGAATCCATTTTTTGAAAAATATTCGAAAAACTTTTTTGTGGTTATAAGTAACAATTAAAAACATCAAAGATAAGCCTTACAAAAAATCAATAATAGCTATTAATATGGATAAAAATTGTATTTTTAATAATAAATATAAGAAAATACAAGATTTCTCATATTTGGCATAGATAGTATTATTATAAATATTATAAAGAAATTCCAATCATTATTTATTATAGAACGATTTGGTGAGTATACCAGCAATGTAGCCGTATGTTTATAGCGTGGATAATGTGCAATTGCCACTAAAATCCATTTGAAAATTATAGGTTGTTATATATTTGATTTTTATATTCGAATATTTTGTAATAAAACATTGTGATATAGTAGTCATCTTTGTTTTTATGTTTTTACGAAAAAAAGGTCGTAAAAATATCATATAGCACTACTATATTACCAAATGGACTTTTTAAAACGATTTTGAATCATGTTCTTTATACAATATCTTGATATTTTACATTGACAGGAAGTGGCATATAATGCTGAACACGATTACATTTCTCTTGTTATCTCCTATTGCTTACATACTGGAGCCAACAGTTTTTCATAATCTTGGTAAGAATCATTGAGCAAAAATTATCTTTCGAGTATTTGTTGTTCTGTTGTCCTAATATTTATAATTAGTAATAAAATTTTTTATGAAGATATGCAAAAAGTAAATAAGATGATTGCAAAATATTTTTTTTTATAAAAAAATTATAAAACTTTTTAAAACGGTCATAAAATTCTGATGCAAACAATTTCTTCGAGTAATTCCTATACATTTGAAGCATTTTACTAACTTCTCAAAGAGCAATAGTTTTAGGGAATCAATTAAACCAAATCATGTGTTTTAAATCTTTGTTTCATATGTTATTAATTAAATAATAATCAAAAGCATCAATAAGCAAATTTTCTGATTTTTAATTCTTACATAATCTCATTGTTTACTATTACTGCTATCATCTGGGAATTGTAACCGATCAAACATGAACAAGCCGTCATAACACTAAAGGCTTAGGTTTTTCATCAATCACTCACACTTTTTCTTCTGGTAACACAATCTCCTTCAAAATGCCTGGAATCACTGTCACACATTTTCATTTGGCTGTTTGGAGGATGTTACAGCATAGTAAAATTTTCTAGGATTTTAAATAGCAATGTAAATAATCCTTGCATTATTTTAAGTTAAAGAGAACTCGATGGAATAATTTTGGCGAGGTGATCGTCGAGGAGCATAGGTGATATTACAAAACTTCACAATAATTAATAAACTCATTCTTATTAGAATTTGCGGAACAGAATGATTCTAGGTACGAGATCAGTTGGTCCTGGTGGTTTGAGGTGGTTCCTGGAGAGTCCAAGTTCTATCACAGGACACAGCGCTCGGGCGATGTCACATTGGTGGTGCTGCATGGTGTTGGGGGGGCGGGTTGTATACCTATCGTATCTTATAATATATGTGACATTTCATCTTTAAATGACATAAATTAAATCATTTTGATTATTTTTTCCATAGTTTAAGCTCTTTAAACAACAAACATAACCAATATGATTTAGAGCAAAGAAGAGTAGACATTAAATGTAAGTACAGATACATCCATAAACATAAGTAAGTAGAGTCTCTTAAAAAACGATTAAATCGTATTTTGCTACAATATATAATGACTATTATCAAACGCTAATCGTAAAATTAAGTAATTAGTGGTAGGTAAAAATATTGCATTACAACTAATATAGATACAGACGATTCACTTTTTTCTGTTCTAGCCACCCTAAATTTTCTATACATCGTCTTCTTTCCACGCTTCAGTAGAATATTATCGTTCCAGATAATCACTGATAATCGAAGCATTACCCGCTAGTTTGTATTTATAAAAAGATTTTTCTGGACTGTCCCGAGACTCATTTAACGTAAGACTAAATTGAACAGCCTGACGACATGTTAACATCTGGCTGGATCAGGAGGGCTGTGGTCACAACTAGTTTATCCCCCAACTAATTTCTATCCTCTTCTTTCACCAGACACCATCGCCATCTCTCCTCTATTCTCGCTGCCTGGGATTACCGAATAAATAAGCGCATTTTAAGGTTAATATAAAATGCTTATTCACTAACACAGCAATCATACTCTTATGTAGCAGGTAGTCTTAGAAACTAATTATAGTCTTTGAACAAGCTCCAAAAAAACAAATATTATTTTACTAAGAAAGTAGCATTAAACATACCATTAATAATGAGCTTTGGTGACAGCTGTCATGGTAACATCCGGAGTTGTCACCACAAGGTGACTAGGGAGGGGATGGTCACAGATTGAGTTAACAGTCATGATTAATCAAATCAACACACCACCACCACCCTCCCTTCAGACCTAGCAATGACAAAACCAAGATGTCTTCTGTACTGTACAGAATAAATATATTCCCACCATATAAAAAAAACATAAGCCTTTTATTTTCCGTAAAAAAAAGTACAAAAATCTAATTTTGAATTTAAATCATGTAATTCCTTGCATTTATATAAAATTTCAGGCGAATTGGGATGGAATAATGTTGGCAGGATATCGAGGAGCATAGGTGACTAGTACATTAGTTTCGCTATAATTAATAAAAATTTAGTCAAACTCTTGGTTAGAATTTGGGGAAGAATTTCTGGGTAGAATTTCAGTTGGTCCTGGTGGTTTCCGGGACAGTCAAGTGGCACAGGGACTTTAGCGTGGGTGGTAGTGATGATATTTCTATCGATCTTATAATACATTGGCATTCATCTTTAAGTAATAAGATTAAATTATTTTGTATTTTTTTTTTTGCATAGTTTTTGTCTTTAAATAACCTATAACAATATTATTTACTAAGAAAGTAACATTAAAGGGAAGGTCAAATATATCCTATATTTTATTAGGTAGATTTCTAATTTTCACATTTTTTATTTTTTAAATTGCTACAAAATATAACGACTATTATCGGACACTAATCGTAAAATTAATGTATTTTATCCTTTCATAAGGGTAAAAAAATAAGGGCAATTAATTTTAAATATGAAAATCATTACAAAGGCAATTAATTTTACTTTTGAAAATTATTACAATCAATTAATACAGACGATTCACTTTTTCTTTAGCCACCCTGAATTTCCTTTACGACTTCGTTTTCCCCCTCTTCACTAGAAAATTAATGCGATCTAGATAATCCTGATAATAGAACGAATTACCCACTAGTTTGTAAATGTCCCGAGACTGTCGAGACCTCATTTACGTAAGACTTAAATAAGCTCGTGCCAGGAGGAAGAGTTAGTGTTTGAGAAAAATGAAGGACTGGTCACATTTGGGGTGGCCAAGGTGGGAATGGTCACAGATGAGTCTTCTACTTTATGATTTTTCAATTCTTTGGCCAAAGAAGGACTGGTCAAATCTGGGGTGGCCAACGAGGGGATGGTCACAGATGAGTCTTTCACTTTATAATTTTTCAATTCTTTGGCCAAAGAAGGACTGGCCACATCTGGGGTTGCCAACGAAGGGATAGTCACAGATGAGTCAAAGTCATCTACTTTACGCTTTTTCGATCCTTTAGCTGGACAATGTCGGGTAGCCATATCTGGAATTATAAAGGAAGTATATTTTCAATAATCACAACTAAAATATTTTGCCATATCTGGAATTATAAAGGAAGTATATTTTCAATAATCACAAAATATTTTATTTAATGATCTAAAATATTTTACCAATCTAAATCCCAAGACTTTGTCACTATATATTTCTCTGGTAAACAATGCCAGACTGGCTGCCGAGCAATTCAAAAATGTTGGGTACTCTTAGGGGTTTAGATAATTCATCTGTGTTGGGGGGTTAGATAGTTCATCTGTTATGATTCTGCCAGTATTTACAGGTTCCCTGCATTCTAATCTTTCAGACTCAATGGCACTTGTACAACAGTTAGTTTGTTATGCCCATGCGCCTAATAATTAATGAAAGGCGCTTCTTGTTCCTGAAGAGATCATGGAACAGGGTCAACCTGTTTTGAAGATCTTCATTTTCTTTACGTAGTTGATCACGTTCTTTAGTCAGTTTGGATAATTCCTCCTGTACTTGTAAATGATGCACCAATAGAAGTAGTAGAAATTTTTAAACCGTCTTCCATTTCCTGTGACACGCACTGAACCTTTGTGAGTGAAAGTCCACTCTCTTGGTCTAACTCAATAATAATTTGCTTTCTTTTGCCTTCACCTGCAAAATTGTCCTCTACCATTAGGCTTCAAGGTTTATAATTTAATATATTTGGACATAGTTCTTCAGTTGGTCTTCCTGCTTCTGCCTGTGCCACAGAGCTTTTCTGCTTGCTTGCAGATGCATTTTTACTGATAGAGGCTCTTTCTTCAGTTTGCTCATCAACCTGAGCTACAGCTCCTTGCTCTTCACTGTTAGGTCTGTTATTTTCTTCATCAGATTTTGCTGGCTTGAACAATGTAGTTATTGGGATGGCTGATGGGATTGTTGGCTGAACAGGTACTGCTCCAGCAACTGTTGAAGAGCGAGCAAGATCCCAGCAAATAGGTTTTACTGCTTTGTCTGTTCCACTTCCTGGGACACGAACAAAGGAACGTATAGGATCTCCAATTTCATATGAAGCAACCATTTTAGTAAATCTTTTCAACTAGTTGTTAATGTATGCCTTCGCACGTTTATCAAGCACCTTTTTACTCAACTACTCAGTACACTGGGACACTGAGAATAAATGGCTGCTTGGATCCAATAAGAGCAGCACTCACACCTCCTCTTCCTTCAGACCTATGGTCGACACTGACTTGCTGAGAACAAAGTACCTCTTCTTACAGCCACCCTAACAGTTACCAATTAGTGTTTCAAAGATTCTAGCACAAAATCGTAAGAAAAAAAATAATGAGTACTACATCCTGTACTGTACAGGATAAAGTGAGGTACCACCACTACACTGCTGCACACAAGATATTCATGTTCACAGCATTTTTATAGTGTGGGTGAGTGTGCAATTCGATTAAATCAGTTTGAAAATTACAGGTTTTATATATTTAATTTTTATATTCAACTATTATTACTAAAGGGACATATCAGAAAGAAAAAAAAATGAAAAAAGAAAGACTTGCCCTATTAATCATAAAAAAAAAGTTTTTATTATATAAAAAACACTAGTTGATAAAGATGATATTATTACCTTTTGTACTGTACAGGATTAACATTAGAATTCAGAAAAATTTAGTACCTTTTTAAAAAAAAAAATGAAATTTTCATTTTCATCAGAATTACTTCAAGAAATTTTTGCTCAAATTCCCTACCAAGATTTATTAAACTATTGTGCTCCAGTGTGTAAGAAATGGAGAAATGTAATTATTGATGAGGATTATATGCCAATTCGTCAATTATATTATAGATATTGTAAAGAACCTAATTTAAAATTTTAAATCCTTTTTAGTAATAATAATAGTAGTGCTATTGAAATATTACGACCATTTTTAAAATATGAAGATGACTATGTATTTCAACTTTTATTACAAATTATTGAATATAAAAATAAATATAAAAACTTATAACTTAAAAATTGATTTAGTTGAATTGAAAAGTCATCCATATTATTTACATGCTGCTGAATTACTTGAAAATCACCAATCATTTTATAATAATAATGATTGGGATCTTCTGTTAATATTGATGGATAGTAACTATCTAAGAATGTGAGTGAAGTCCTGTATTTATTATATTTAGTATTAAAAATACAAAATTTTATCCACTGGTGGATATTATAGATTTTTTTATGGATTATGTTTGATGTTTTTAAATTGTTACTATAATCATAAAAGTTTTAAAACTTTCCACCTTACAATCATACTAAGATTAATTCTGCTCTTTTCATTGGGTAAAAAGGTTTTCCCCAATAAAGGAAGGCACGATGTAAACATCGCAAAAGGTAAAATTAAATTTTTTGGGGAAAAATAGAGATTTTTATTAAAAAATTTAAAAAAAAATTTTTTTAATTATTATATATCTAATGAAAATTACGTCTATTCAACATTATTATCTTTAGAAAAATCATTATATTATGTTGTTAAAAAAATTTAACTAGTAAAAGTTATAGCTTTAAAAATGAAAAATAGAATATAAAAATATAAAAAATATGATTCCAATAATTCTCCTTCACCTGCATAATAGAATAATAGAAAAAGTAAAAAAACTAACCAATGTTACCTAATTTTTTTTAAATATAGTTATTGGTATTTTAATAAGAAATACAATTTTTTTAAAATAACGAAACTCAGAATTTCCACTTTTTTCGTAATGTGTAATAATGAAAAAACACCAACTCTATTTATGGTAAATTTTTTTGTATTAAAAAGGAAACTGATATTGAAACTGATGGATTTTGCAAAAATTTTTTCAGTAGAGAATTTGAAAAATATTTAATGATGATAAAATAAACACACATACTAGTAATCACTCCCTGAAACTATGTCATATGAACTGTTTTACATTTGGGATGATTATAGCAATAAATATATAAAAAATTTTATAATCCTCAAAATTTTTGCACAAATACATAAAAATTTAATAATCCTCAAAAAAATTTTATGGCTATCTTCCAGTGAATAGATCTTTATTTTGTTAACTACTTAATTTTAGAATAACTATAAATAGTCAACTACTTCGTTTTGTTAAATTAATAATGACAGCACAACCATAAATATTTCTTCAAAGAAATTTTTTGCTCAACTTCCTTATGTAAGACCTATTAAATTGTTGTGCTCCAGTTTGGTAAGCATATGGAGGAATGTAATTATTGGCAATCAATATTATATGCCATTCGTCCGTTATATTATTCGATATTGTAAGAACCTACTCTAAATTTCAAAGTCCGTATTGGAAAGACAGCATTAATAATAATGATAGTTATATCAATGCTATAGAAATATTGAAAAAAATTATTTTATATAATTCTTTTCCTGTTATTACTCCATTTTTAAAAATAATTGAATATAAGAAATCTCGTAAAATCTATAATTTAAAAAATGACTTATTAGAATTTTATAATCATCCAATGTATTCTTCAGTCGTTACATTAATTATAGAACAAAAACAACATAATATTCAGCTACAGTCAAATATTATCAATGGCTGGCATATAATAGCCTTAATAGCAAAATTTTCTCGGGATGTAAGTGAAATTTATTTATTAATGTCTTTTAGAAGTTAGTAAAAATGCTTCAAATGTTAGAATTACTCGAAGAAATTATTCATAATAAAAAAATATTTTGCAATCATATATAATTTTGACTTCATAAAATTTTTACCATAATATATTCTAATTACATTTTTAAAAGAATATTACTAAATTATAAAATATTATGACAACAAAATTACTCGAAGAAATTTTTGCTCAAATTCCTTACCAAGACTTATTAAACTGTTGCGCTCCAGTATGTAAGCAATGGAGAAATGTAATCGTTGATCAGCATTATATGCCACTTCGTCAACTATATCACAGATATTGCAAAGAACCCGATTCAAAATTTAAAAGTCCCTTTGGTAATAATAGTAGTAGTGCTATTGATATTTTACGACCATTTAAAAACAAAGATGACTATATATCACAATTTTTATTACAAATTATTGAATATAAAAATAAAATATATAAAACCTATAATTTTCAAACTGGGGGGGGGGGGGGGTTGGGGGGGGAGGGGGGGGGGGGGGATTTAGTGGAATTGCACACTCATCATCACACTATAAACATGCTGCTGCATTTGTTATGTATATCCACCAATCGTTCCTACAATAATAATGATAGCATCTTCTTATAATATTTATACTAAATACTATCGTAAGATAAATAAGTGAAAATCTTGTATTTATTATATTTTATTATAAAAATATCCAATTTTTATCCATTATAGATATTATTGATTTTCTTTATGCTACCTTTGATGTTTAATAAATAATTACTATAACCACTAAAAGTTTGGAATTTTCAAAAAGAATCACATTATAAACTCATTAATATTCATTCTACTCTTTTCATTTGGGAAATAGAATAAATCCAATAATTAATGTCTGTTTCGTTAATGACATGTGAACGAGCACGCGTTGTAAATCATCTCTATTGTAACGACCGACAGAATTATTATGGTTGAATATAAAAGTGAAAAAATTTATCTTTGATAAGTTGAATATTATTATTAATTTTGAAACCATATTAATAAGAAGTTTTTAATTGTTATATCTGAAGAAGATAATTTTGTATATTCAAAAATTTTTTTGTTACATTTATCAAAAATAATGTAAATCTAATTAATGATTATAAAACTATTGAAAATTATAAAAACAAATAGATTTCTTAATAGTTTTTTACTCGAAAACACAACTGAAAAGGTAAAAACTTAACCGATTTTCCCATAATTTTTTTAATTATTAATTTTGTTTTGGTTGATAAAATACAGGATCATTTTTTTAAAAGAACAATAACAAAAATACCAATTTTTCGTTGTGTAATTATCGAGAGAGAAAAATATCAATTATGTAAATTATTATGTACTAAAATGAAACTGATGATAAATTCCAAAATTTATTTTAGCCGAGAATGTTATGAATGGTTATAAATCAAACTCAAATCATGAAATTGATCCCTGAAACTATTATCTTATAAAGTATATCCTGTGAATGGATGGTTGATGATTATACAAATATTTACACTTCTAATAACTCATTCTCTCCTATGATACGACCTAAAATAAAAAAAATTTAACTATAGCAAATATTATTATTTATTATTTTGTGTGCCGAATATGTAAAAACTGGTGCTCAGATCTGGAGGGTGTTGTTTTAGCTGAATCAGCACTGAGTAGACTCATGCATTTATAACCGCATCCTTACAATCATTTGTCAAGTTGAAAAACAGGATGTAATTTTGGTCGTTTTTACAATAGAAGATGATTTTACCACTCATGAATATCAGATTGAGAAGGGTGAGAGCATCCATGAATGCTAATAGACTAAGGACCAAAAGAGGAGATATCTATTTTTCAGGTTAAAAAGAAAAAAAATATTAATACAAGTTTATTTTGACTTAAAAAGAAAGAAATATTATAACCTTAAAACTGAGACTTAGAAAAAATTATAGACTTTGTCCAACAAACAATGACTTCTATCTACTAAATGCAGTATTAATCTAGGTTGAAACTTTCAATCTAAGTTAACCCTGTAAATTACTAGATAGAAGTCATGTTTGTATAACCACCTGTACCAAACAAGCAAATCAGAGCTTAAAACTATTTTCATAACTTGTTTAAAATATAAGTTTTATAACTTTATTACTTACCAAGAGAAGGAAAAGTTTCAAATAGCGTGACTGTGACTACGGACTGGGTGTTACTGACTAAATAGCCTAGCCTTACTTGAATTCTTTTATGTGGCAGTCAGTCTGTTGGGCTCCTCCCTATGCTAGTACAGGACGTAACATCCTGTTTTTCAATGTCATCTACTTTACCACATCTACATTATCTTAAAGGGTTCATTATCCAACAGTAACATGACTTCTATCTACTAACTGGCAGGTTGAAACAGTTTCACTCTAAATAAACCCTTCAAATTACTATAGAAGTCATTTGTAGATCAAAAAAACTTTTTTTTTAAATCATAATAATTTCTTTCAATTTTTATACTTTTATTAGGTAACTAATATATGTTTATTAAATATAAAAGAACACCAACACACACTCAAGTTCCAATTTTTTGTTCTGGCTCCAAAATAGGTTCCTAGACCCTTTTTAAATTTATATGAATTAATTATAATATTAGTTCTTTATTTAGTTGGAACCTTTTCTGAGAATTTGGAATCTAATGACCTTTTGTTCTAGGATCTAATGATTTTCTGTTCTGGGATCTGAGAGCTTTTTGTTCTGGGATTTGAAGACTTTTTGTTCTAGGATCTGAGAACTGAGGAAAACCTTTTGGATTGAGGACCTTTTGTTCTGGATTGATGAGCTTTTTGTTCTGATCTGAGAACTTTTGGATCGAGGACCTTGTATGAATGGCTAGAGGACTTTTAGTTATGTGGTATTTGGAACGATAAACCTTTTTTTGTTTTTCTGGAGTTGAGCTTTAACCTGAGGATGATCTTTTCTGGAACATGAGGATACAAACATTTTATCCCTCACATGATTGTTCGGGGGCCTGATCATCATCATTTTTCTGGGGCCTGCTTAGGGACGGCGACCAGCTTAGGAGACGATGACCTTGTGAGTGTTCTGGGGCCTGATCAACATCTTTTCTGTGGCTG